TTTTAAAGAGTTTTAAGCAAGAAACTGATACGGTCAGATTTGCACTATAGAAAGCCATTTTGATGTGGAGGTTAGCCTATAGGAAAGGAATTTCCATCAACTGATTCTGGACTCTTTTACTAACATAGGTACTCTTATTAGAGATTCTTCTGAAGGTGTAATGGAATTGGCCTAGTTAAGAGTTAGTGTAAGTCCTGAAAAGGAGTTACGACTGTTACTACTGGAAAGAAGGCAAGTATACTGGAGTCAGTGGTATTAAGGCTCTATAATAAATTGGATCTTGAGGGTGAAAGAGGTAGCAAACCTGATTCCTAGGTTTTAAGCCTTTGGTATTTGAAGAATTTTATGCCATTATCAGTAATAAAACCATAAACTTACTGTAGACTACAAACTTATTTTTTGGACATCTTGAGTTACAGGACTAATAGATGGCCACATGAAACTGTCCAGTATAGAGCTGGAAATGCAGATCTGCAGCTCAGCCTCAATGTTGTGGCTAGAGGTAAAGTTTGAATCATCAGCATAGAGGTGAAAGTAATGGAAATACTTGGCATCAGGAAGGGAGTACTGAGAAAAATGGGAATATTTCAGGGAAAGGCTGCATTTATGAAATAGGACGAAGAATTATGGTAATTGCAGAAACAGAGTAGGAGATAAAGTATAAGAGTGCCAGGGTTCCAGCAACCAAGAAAACCCAGAAATCAAGAGAATTTTGACAGAGTCTTCTGGGAAAATTCATGCAGGGCATTTGGGGAATAATGAGGGGAGAAAAAAAGATTGCATTTCTTTAGTAAGAGATTATTAGTGACCTTTTAGCAGACAATAGAATGATGAGGTAATGATATATGAAATAATAGAGAACTCAACTGGTTTGGTGTTAAATGAGAATGAGAAAAGGCCACATGTGAAGGATTTCAAGGAAAATTGACAGGCTTTGTTAATTTACCTAAAAAATGCTTATAGAGCATATTCCAGACACTGTTTTAAACTATTTAAAATAGTAACTTACTTTTAATTTAATTTAAAAATTAATTTAATTCCCTATAACAACCCTATGAAGTAATATTACTATCTGACAGATGGGAAAATTGAAGCACATACATGAGTTAAGTAACTAACTCAGGGTCATACAGCTACTGAGTCAGGGTTTTGATCCTAGGAAATACGTTTCCAGAATTCATGGTGTTACCGACTGCACTAAGCAGTGATGAGAGTCAAAAGAGTGGGAAAATTTTAAACAAAGATAGGTTCATTGAAAAATAAAATGAAAGGCTTGGAAGGGGATCCAGATGGAGAAGGTAAGTAATGGATTTATGTTTGTGTTAAATATATATTTTTTATTTCTTCTTAGATTCTCTTCCAGTCGGTGCATTTTAGGTCAGTTTCTTTCACAATTAGGTCAATTGCATCAAGATTCCATCTATCATGTATTATCTATAACTGAGTCTCCTCTTGAGCTTCAGACCCTCATCCAGCTAGCTAATGGATCCTCCCCTTGGTGTCATGTAGGAGCCTCTTGGCTAAACATTTTAAGACCAGACCAATGATCATCCCCTCAGTGTTCCCTCACCTATTGAATGACTCTATGAAAGATGTGTAGTCATTCAAACCAAATATCATGGAGTCATCTTGAACTTTCCTCTTCTGTTCCCCACATTGGCCACCTAGTCCAGCAGTTTTTTGAAATCTCTCTCAGATCTCTTTTCCTCTATCTGTATTATTGTTGTCAATAATCAGAACCTCATTGTTTCTCTCTTAATCTGTCAGACTAATAGTGTACTAACAGGTTTCCTTGCCTCCATGCCCACTGTTCTCAGAGCCTTTCTCCATTAACTTTTATTTTTGACTTACTGACTTTTAGACAGTGCAAGAGTGTAGGCATCAGGCATTTGAAGTGATAGAATAGTAACCTAGGGCAAGTACTTTTGAGTAGCCTAAACTGAGGTTAAATTTGGTTAAGGCTGGCATGAGGATGGGAATTTAGGAATTTTTAGAGAAGGTAATAAAACATTGAAAAATCAGGTGGGCTCTCTGAGGAAATAAGCCTTGAGAAAACATAGCAAAAAATCAAGGTGTAATCTTTGAAGGATATGCTGACTGTTACACAATTCAGTGAACGCTTGAGAAACAAAAGAATGGTGGAACAGAGGCCAGTAGTTAAGTAATATGCCCATTTCTCTACAGTAGTTTAACAGAATGAACTAGATCTATATTTATTCAACATATATGGCTCTCAAAAACAGTAAGTGAAAAAAAGTAAGTTACAAAACACAATAGAAACTATTTTATTTTATATTTTCTGTGGCTAGGCATATAAAAGTATTTTAAAAAGGGTGGGAAGGAAAATCATAAAGGACCAAACTTAGAACAAACTGAGTACTGAGAGGAAAGAGGTTGGGAAAGCGGTTTTGTACCTAAGCTATGATGTTGAAAAATTTTACAGGAAGGATATATTTCTGTATGTCTCACTTACAATTAAAGGTAAACAAAGTCAGAATTTGGAGAAGGTAGTGTCATGAAAATTACCCAAGGCAAGAAAAGGATTGAAGTTTATAGAAAAAAAAGTTGTAGTCTAATACAACCTCTTTGAAAAATGGAATATGGTGTTAGTAAAAGACAGATTTTCAAGTAGTTCTGAGTGCTAAGTTGAACAATAAGGGCACTTTTATGAGGTAGATAGAAAAAGACTGACATACAGCTTGGGAGTTTATTGTATGCAATAGAAAATTTTCCTTATTGTATTTGTATGTCATAATCATATTTTGTAGTTATTAGAGTCATTTGAGATAAGAAAATTTGGTATTTTCTTACAGCCCATGGCACAGCAGTGAACATTGTCCAACTTAAAATATTCACTGATCCGTTTTGATTACTCTTGCTTGAACAAAGGGAAATTCTCAAATCAGTTGGCACATTTGTTATGGAAATAATTATGGAAGAACTGCATAATAAAGAGAAAGTGAACTTAAGTAAGAATATTCCCATTACATTGATATTTGAGAAATGGGCCATTCAAAACTTGCTAATAAACATTTAAACAGTATTCAGATTTAATTGTAGTAATTTAGGCAATAGATGATAAGGACCTGAACCATAGCAATGACAGAATATACAGAGAGAATTTAGAACACATTCTGAGGAAAGAATCAACAGTCAAAGAAACAACAATCAAAGATTGTGGTCACTAAGTATTATACCTGATCAGTTCTCTACTTTCATTTACTGGAAGCTCTGCTGTGATGTAGAATTATGTGAGTGATTTTTATGAAAATTATGAACAATTTCTACTGTACTTAGGAGTTAACTACAGTTGGGGATTTTGAAATGTATTCATAATTTCCTTTTATTTGCAAATGACACTAAGTTTCATTCTGTGAAGATAAATACACAAAAGATGGAAAAATAAAGTTTAAATAGGTGTGAAGGGAAGGTAAAATAATAAAGAAATTGAATGTAATCAGGAATATGACTAATAATACATAAGTAGCTTACTATTAAATCCTCTAGACTTGACATAAATGTGGCTGTAAGTTGTACTTTTAAAAAAATGAAACTTTCTCTGATGCACAACTAACTACACAAAAGTATATAAATAGTCAGTGTACAGCTGAATGGGTATGAGGAGGGAAATCTGAACAGTTACACAGCTAACATTATCCATAAGGTAATACTTCAGCTAGCCTAGTTGTTTCATACGTGGATTTTGGCATCATGCATCTTGGGCACAAGTTCCAGCTCTAACACTTAACACTTTCCACCTCTCTTGAACTTGAACAAGTTCTTTATATTCTCAAAGCTTGAGTTTCCTCATACGCAAAGTGGGGATGATAAAACTACCTCACAGGGATTTTTGAGAATTAAGTGGGTCAACTTATGTAAAGCACTTAGCACCAGAGTTAATACCCAGGATTCAGTAAAGAATAGCTGCCACTTCTCTTATTCTTAAATTAAGCCAGTTCATAAGAAGCACAATTACTCCTTTTTATTTTGACTTTTTTTGAAAGTCAAGTTACATTTTTGGTTTTATATTGTCAAAACTATGTCAAAACAAACCCTTGAAAGAAATTTTCCCCAGGGCACCCAAAAGAGGATATCATGATAGTGAAGAGCATCTCTACAATAGCTCAATAATAATTTCATTGGGACTTTTAAGAGTTAATTATTCTGCTGGTTTTTGTGGAATGGGTGGTGTAAACAGTAACAGATGGGCCTTGCCCTCATAGAACTATACAGGCCTTTGAAAAGAGGAGCTAGTGACAGGAATCAATTAAAGGGTAAACTGTGTGGCCTGGAAATAAAAGTATATCAAGGGGAGACAAAAGAGTGGGCTGACACATAATAGAGAAAACAATTAATTAATTAAACAGAATCAGTTTTCCTGACATTCTTGGACTGCAGCAAACAAAAGCAAGCCCTTTCTTGGGATACCTGTTGGGCTGCTCCTGATGGTATGTTTCTTGAGACTGATAAGTTAAATGAAACTGTAATCTAGCTTCTCATTTTTGGAGCTTCAAGGAACAATTATCCCTGAGGCTAATTGTTTAAAGCATTATAAATGCTGTCATATTGTAGATGGAAGCAATTAGTGCTCCTTTTGGGGTATGAATATGAAAATACTGACCTGAGGGTAGATTTAGAACAAGCTACACTAAAAAAGAATGCCCCGTTTGACCAGTTGAAATGACAGTTATTTTTATAATTTCTGGTTATAAATTGGGACATTCACCATTCCAGAATGGATATATTAAGCTATTGGAATCGCTGAAACTGAACAGTGATAATACAGGTTTTTTGCTTTATTGATATATCCCCTATATCTACTAGACTTTTGCTGTTCACCATCTTTTCTCTGATGCTACATTTGCTTCTCTACACTCCTCCTATCACCTTTATTGCAATTATTCATGATCTATACATTCAGAATGCCATGCAAGGGAAAAGCTTATAATTTAAGTAGGTACATTTTTGTTAATATACCTATGCCATCCCAGTTCTCTTTACTAAATTTTACCTCTCATTCTATGCTGATTTCATGCAGCTGAACTCCTTAGAACCTTTACAGGTACATTCTTTTTCCTTCTCTGTATCCAGTCAGTTTCCAAGTTCTTTAAAATATCTTTTGTTATTTTTCCTTCCTCCTTATTCCCATTTTCATTCCTTCTCAGGCTTTCATGGCCTCAGACCTTCTACAGACACTGAGCTGGTTGGCCTCACAGCAGTTCTTCCTTCTTTCCACCGTCAAGCAAATCTTACAGGTTCAACAAATGCCACCTGAGCACCTGCGTGTGTTTAGTACAATATTAAATGATGGGAATACACACCAGTTTTAACAGAAGAGGGTTTCGCCAGTAATGTGGCTGCAGTGAGTAGAATTTGAAGCAAAAGAAAAAAGTTTTGCCCTAGAAGATGCAGGTTCTCAGCATTAGCCCCATTGCGCAGGATGGAGATGTTTCCCTCAAATGCCATGAAGCTTACAATTTGGCGGGGAAATACAGTATTTAATAAAGTACTTTGACTGTTGTTAAGTACTATTCTCTGGGTCCAGGAGAGAGAACTGCTCTAGTCTAAGGTTAGGGAAGGGCCTCTCAGAGGAAATAAAGGAGACAGAATTGGCTAGGAGTAATGTTCCTGACTAAAATAACTGTGCTAAGACTTGGAGTAAACAAAGAGCTATCATGCAGCAGGTATGAGAAGAGCAGTGTAAGAACTAGACTCTGCCATCAGGAGCTGGTATATTCTATAAGCCTTTGTAGGTAAGTATTATAGAAGATAAGACTATAAAGATTGAGCTTCAGAGTCAAGATGTTGCCGAGAGCACCCAGTTGTCTCATGATTCTCAACTATGAAGCTAATAAATGCATAAAGTTCAAGGTGAATTTATTGATGCACTGAGATTGTAGAGCTATTTCTCAAGGGTAAACTTCATAACACTACTGATCTCACAGAAGACTGTTATGTAGACAGAGTGCCAGTTTATTATTTTTGCAACGACTTATGGACTAGAACTATCATGTGGGCATGGCTAATTCTTTCTTCCCTTGGCAAGCCAAGTTACCAGAAAATCATTTGGAGAGTATGGAATTAGAACATGAGGACTTTCTCCAAAGAAATTGCTATGTACAGGGACAAATATGCAGAGTTTTGACAAAGACACCTTCTTCTGTGGTTGAATGGGTTATGCTAGTGTTTACCTTAGTTATTGTTAGGTTTATTTAATTAGTTTATACTCAAGAGGTTAGTCTATAGCTAGGAGTTAATGGGAAATCATGGTAGGATTCTAAGCAGGGGTTGGATATAATCACATCTGTGCCTTTGAAAGATGTCTTGCCATGATATAGAAGTTGGATTAGAGAACCTGGAAGCCAAAGAACATTTATGGATGAGTACTAGTAGTCTAGTTGATGAGTAATGATGGATAAATTGGGATAGAGAACAATCTAGTAGGGATTAATTAGATCTACCTTCCTTCTACTCAGATTCTCAAGTGGCTCATCTGGTTTTTCTATATCAAATATTTATTGTCTGTATCAAGAAATGTTTCTTAAGAGTTTAGATTTGTACCCAATGCACAGGATAAAGACCTGTGCCTTTGACACAGTCTGAAATAAACATTGTTCCTTTAGGTCTGTGACTTTAATTTTGTCACAGAAATACTTGTATGAATAAATTCACATCAGTTTCAAAAGAGGAGAGTTTACTCAGGAATGGGGCAAGCAATTTTGAGGGCAGTACTGTAAAATACAAAGCAAAGGAAAAGAGTTGTTTTTGAAGAAGTAAGTTCACAGTATCATGCAGAATATAGTTAGGTTCATTAACACTTCTTGGGATGTTTCACTCTGTTTTTGAAACCTGATAGAATATTCATTTGAGAAGCAAAAACAAAATGCTCTTGAAGTAACTTAACACTGTTCTTGTATTAAGTTGAATGTGAAAAGTCTTGTGAGTCTTGTAAAAAGTTCAGTGAATGCCAAGCTATTTACACTGATACAAGTACACAATCATTACTGCAATTGATACTTGATGTTGGTGAAGAATAATTTTTAACAGCCTTTGAAAGCTGTTAGCTTCCTCTTCTAAGGAAAATTGCATTCAAATACATACAAAGAGATATGACAACACAAATTTGGTTTTGGAAGGAAAATCCAGGTTTCTTAATTGTTTGAATTTTCTTAAATTCATCCTTTTTACATTTCTGTTCTTTAGGTCTGCCAAAATGTCTGAAAGATCAGATCTCCTTCACTTCAAGTTTGAAAATTATGGAGATTCAATGTTACAAAAAATGAACAAATTAAGAGAAGAGAATAAATTTTGTGATGTTACAGTTCTCATAGATGATATTGAGGTACAGGGGCATAAAATTGTGTTTGCTGCAGGTTCCCCCTTCTTAAGAGACCAGTTTTTACTGAATGATTCCAGAGAGGTGAAAATCTCCATATTACAGAGTTCCGAAGTGGGGAGACAATTGCTCTTATCCTGTTATAGTGGTGTGCTGGAATTCCCTGAGATGGAACTTGTAAATTACTTGACTGCTGCGAGTTTTCTTCAGATGAGCCACATTGTAGAACGGTGCACGCAGGCCTTGTGGAAGTTTATAAAGCCAAAACAACCAATGGATAGTAAAGAGGGATGTGAACCGCAGAGTGCTTCTCCCCAGTCAAAAGAACAACAGGGAGATGCCAGAGGCTCCCCAAAGCAGGACTCACCTTGCATTCATCCATCTGAAGACAGTATGGATATGGAGGACAGTGATATTCAGATTGTTAAGGTAGAATCTATTGGGGATGTGTCAGAGGTTAGAAGTAAAAAAGATCAGAACCAGTTTATTTCTTCTGAACCCACTGCTTTACATTCATCAGAGCCCCAGCACTCCCTGATAAATTCAACTGTGGAAAACAGAGTAAGTGAAATAGAACAGAACCATCTCCACAATTATGCCCTCTCCTACACAGGCAGTGATAATATCATCATGGCCTCAAAAGATGTCTTTGGGCCTAATATTCGAGGTGTAGACAAAGGCCTACAGTGGCATCACCAATGCCCAAAGTGTACCAGGGTGTTTCGTCACCTGGAGAACTACGCCAACCATTTAAAAATGCACAAACTCTTTATGTGTCTACTCTGCGGCAAGACTTTTACTCAGAAAGGCAACCTTCATCGACACATGCGTGTGCATGCCGGCATTAAACCTTTCCAGTGTAAGATCTGTGGGAAAACCTTTTCTCAGAAGTGTTCCTTACAGGATCATCTTAACCTTCACAGTGGAGATAAGCCCCATAAGTGTAACTATTGTGACATGGTTTTTGCACATAAGCCAGTTTTGAGGAAACACCTTAAACAGCTGCATGGCAAAAACAGCTTTGATAATGCCAATGAAAGAAATGTGCAAGACCTCACAGTGGATTTTGATTCTTTTGCATGTACATCAGTCACAGACTCTAAAGGGTGTCAGCCACAGCCTGATGCAACACAGGTCCTGGATGCAGGTAAACTGGCCCAAGCTGTCCTGAACTTAAGGAATGATAGTACATGTGTGAATTGAGTAGGGGCTTTATGCTCACAACTAGAACTGACTGAAAATATGGCAGTAGTCTGTGTGAGTCTTTTCAGGAGTGATTTTTGCTAGTCTGACTTCTCCAAAGCCTTTGTGCAAGTTGTAGGGGTGAGTCAAAGCACTAACAAGCCAGGCAATTTACCACTTGGAGTGGTCTTGCCTGTCTTTTGCCCTCTCCATTTCTGTTCTGAATTATTTATCCTTTGATGTCTGTTTTCCTTTCCCACGGAGTATTCCATGTGTCTACCTAATGTTGACTTATGTCTTAGACTGACATTATTGAAGGCTTTTCACTGGCACATTCTGAAGATACCAACAAGATAATAATGTCACCTACACTCCACAAACATGCTTTGCCAAGAGATGTGAATACTTTTTCTTTGGCAGAAAATAGGTTAAGATACAAGGTGATACTGCTATTGGCCTGAATATGTGATGGAACTTCCAGTTGCCTATTGATAATTCATCAATGTCTGATAATTGAATGAGTCTGCTTTCTACCACTTGTACACATCTTGTACCTGGCTATAAAGAAGCATTTTGGGTTGTTCTGTACTCTTTTCAATAGTATTATGGCCCAACTGCATGTCATTGAAATGTTCCCACAGACCAGAGTACAATCTTTTTCAGCAACATCTGCAGACATTAGTTGGGAGTCACCATGAGGAGCATAATCAACAAAGGATAGAAGTGCAGTTGTACAATAGTTCTTACCTAGAAGGTTTTTCCTAAAAGAAGCCAAATACTTATAATTAATGTGTGACTTGCTGATGCTTTTGAAGTCAGGGTTGCTCCAGGCCCACAAAAAGAGCTAAAGTATAATGGTCTCTCTAAAAAGGAACTATTTGGGAGTCAGTCTCTGGACTTTGAAGAGATTAGCCATCAGAAAGGTGAGTTTGACCTTCAGAGTTTTGTCCACTGTACTGTAATAATAGTCTCTGAATTTTCATTTCCTTGTGTACCTTAATTTCAAAAATGGATGAAAAAGAGGGTCACAGGAAGAGCAATCAGGTTTTTGCCTTCAGATATTCCTATGAAGGTACCCAATACCACTTTGCCACATTTGGTAGATTGCTAATACAAAATTGATCTTCCAATGCATAAAGCAAAACTGTTTTCCCTAAAGCACATTATAGTTCAGAAATAAATTTTGTGTCTTACTAGTTTCTGACCTACGAGTTAGATTTAGGTAATATGAGTGTTAAAGAGTCTTTAGAGAATCTTTAGAGGTAATTTACTCCACCTTTTTTTTTAAGTCAGGGTAGCCAAAGCCCTAAGAGTTGGCCTGGACAAGGTTGGCCAAAGTAGATAAGTGACTAAATATGACCTAATGCCTCCTCACTTCTTTTCACGATCTCTTGGCTTTAAAAGATCTAGTACATGATCAAGAATACATAAGCAAAAAGCTCCTAGTTTGTGTTTCACCTCTGTGAAACCCAGTAGGCTTTCTGAGACAGCCTGCATTTTGCAAACAAAATATCACAGAAGGATTTGTTTTTGTTAATTATTTTTGGCTAGAATGAGTATTATTACATTCTTCTCAAGCAAGTGACTAATTTTGTAGGTGTTGGTTAGGGAAGGAAGGTACAAGTAAGAATAATGTAGGAAGGATCCAGATGTGGAATGATTTTGTCTGGAAACAGTGTTCATTTAGTTTCCACCAGGACTTTGTTTTTATTTTTGAGCTATGAGAATGCATGTACAACAAACCAAAAATTACATTTAACTTCTGTAGTCAGAATCTTAAAAAGTTGTGATTTGGTGCATTTACATGTGATTCTGACTTGAGGTATAATTTATAACTTTTGTTAAGATTTAAAATAATAATAAAATTGAGTGATAAGACCAATAGGTATGTCATACCTAACATCACTCATTATATGGTCTAATGATGCTGCCTAACACTGATTTTTTTATATGATCCAGCCAAAGAGTACTAATTCTATGCAACGGTGAGACACTAGCATGTTAATGAACATTTCACTATTTTCTCTGGATATCATTTAATCACAGGGAAATTGCAAATTGGAGTGCTTCCTTGCTTATATTCATGTCTTGTTTATGTTACTGGTTTGAAGGCATGGGTTCAAAAAAGATCAGTCTCTGTTGGAGACTATTCCTGGCTTCATTTCAGTCACTCAAGAAACATTTATTAAGCACCTACTGTTGCTAGGCACTATGCTAGATACTAAGGATATGAAGGTAAGATTGCTATGGTCCATGACCTCACAGAGCTTATAGTATCATGTGGTCTAGTGAGATAAGGTATTAATTTGATATCATACTAATAAAGAAAACTGCCTTGCTTGATTTGATCAGTTAAAACCAGCATCTTGATGGTTTTGTCTGGTTTTGTATCAGTAAAATTTCTCGTCCTCACCTTTTGCAGCTGCAAACCACTGAAGTAATTTACAGTCTCCTCCATTTCTTCTGTTTCTGTGAGATATTTTCTTAATTTTGGTGGGACTTAACTTTTCTCCTTTGTTTATACATGTTTCTTAGCTTGTATCGCAAAGTGGTCAAATTACTAAAGTCAAATACATTTTATAGGGGAAGATGACTTTCAAAACTAGTCATATTCTTGTAGAGGAGGGAGAGATTTTAAAACTTTGGTCATTCAGCATTTGTATTTTATGGCTCCCCAGGATAACTAAAATGGAAAGAGGACTTTTACTGTAGTTGGGTTTTTAAAAAAATTACTGTCACAGGTATTTATTTATTATTTAATTTTAAAGACAAACTCCAAACTGAAGCAGCTCTGAGGTAAATCAGATGTGGTTTTAATTTGTTTTAGTTTCTTTATTATAAGATCGGTAAATGGAGGGTGACCAGTGTCACTATTTCTAAAATAATGTCCTAAACAAACAACCCAGAACATTTTATTTCAGCTGGTGAATAGCTGTTCTAAGTCTGTTGTATGTTAGACATACTGTGAACTACCTCTTCACTTATTATGGGGAAGTTTCCTTAATAAAAGTGTGACAATTAAAGTTCTGGTGTCAGTGGTTTCTTTTCTCTCTCTCCTCCTTTCCTTTTAGATTGCCTGAGTTTGACTACAGGAATGTTTTACACTCCTATTCTTTAAAATAAGTATTAATCAAACACAGTGACCTTGGCTTGAGAAGCAAATCTGAGTTAACCAGGGATATAGGGTCAGTGACTTAAATGCGACCTTGTTGACTGGATGTAGGGCAACAGCTTTCAGAACTGGTTCAGACATTCCTTCATTTGGCAAATGCTTGATGCCTATTAAGTGCTAGACTTCGAGAACGCAAAGGTCGGAAAGTCGTCCCAAATACCACCTCTTAGAGGGGACACATTTCATTACAGGTAGGTAAGGTAAATGCAGTACTGTTTACTGGGCCCCAACTAGTTCTGCGGCAGTTCAGGATGGTTTCGCGGGTTTCTGAAGGGGATTTTGAAGGGGAGGAGGGACCGGGTCTGGCGGACGAGGAGAGAGGGCCGGCCAACAGTTTAGAGGGCCTGAGTCGGCCTGGGAACTGGGGCGGGGGAGGAAGAGAGAGTGACGAGAGATTTTGAGGTCAAGGCTAGATCCTGATGGGGTATTAGCCTAGCAGTCTCGAATACTGATTGCTACGGCGGTCTCTCCTTAACTCCACCACCCCTACAAAGGCAGGTGGCTCACTAAAGAGAGAACCCAGCCCATTATAATCCGTGGGGCCTCCCTGTCGTCCCATCGCAGCGTTCTCTGATAGACCCCCTGTTCCCCAACCACAGCCTGTTTGCTATTCGGACGTGGGGGAGAACTCACGAAGGGGAACGGCTCGCGTGCCGAAACTGGGAGACGAGAGCTGGGATTTGCCGGAATTCGGTGCCTTTCTGTCATTCCAGGAGCGGGGGGCGTGAGGCCGGGAGAACGTCTCGGGATATCCTTCCGGCTCGCGCAGCCCGCCGCAGCGAGAAGGAAGGCTAGTTGACACCGGATGTGTTTCCTCCCAGGCTGAGTCCGCCTTCCGGCCTGGGCCACCGCTGCCGCGGAACCTCAGCTTTAGGTTTCTGAGTCGGTGAGTAAGGGAGTTGGATCCCCGGGCAGGTGGGGAAGCCGGCGGAGGAGGAGGAAGACGAGAGCAGCTAGGTGCGGCCCGGGAGTGGCTAGACTGGTGCTGCAACCACCTGGCCGACAGGGCCTTAGACTTGGCCGGCTCGGCTCGGGAAGACCTGTGTGGAGAGCTGGAGGGTCTTCAGGCTACCTGGGATCCGGAGGCAGTTCATCAGATGTCCTCAGTTGCTGCTGCTCTGTGCCGCGCGCCCCGTGCCCGCCGAATGAACTAGGTGGACCAGACACCGTTTCGTGGTGCTCTGGGAGCAACTGACTCGGGGGTGGGGGCGGGGAAGCAGGAGGAGGAGTCACAGAAGTCTTAATTGATTTTGGGGCCCTAAAGGAGCCAAATCACTAGCTGGAAAAAGGAACTCGAAATGCCAATATAACACGTGCGAAGGTGTATTCGGGTCTTCTTGTCTGGGCAGTGGGGAAAATCTCACTATGAAAGGAGCTTCGATGAAATAGAGGAAAAATAAAATCGTAAAGGTGGTTAGGACCAAATCGTGAAGGATCTTGTATTTGATAAGCTTATGCTGTTGATGGAGAATGTGGAGCAGAAGTGAAACTTTTTTTATAGTTTTGAAAGATGTTGATTCTGATGGCACTCAGGAGGGTAGTTTGTTATACAGGGGAGTGTGGTATCAAGGAGACGTGTTGGAAGACATCGCATGATCCAGGTGAACAGAATGAGGACCTGTGGTAGTGCTGGGGGTCGGAAGTTTGGAGAATACATTAAGGTTTCTAATTTGGGAAACCAAGTTAAATCCACTTGATAGTGGGCATCAGCAGTGTTCCTGATCGCAAGGCACATAAAACTTAGCAAGGAGAAAAACATAAAAGCTGTTTTAAAAATATGAAAGTGCTGTAATAAAAAATAGGAAAAATGTGCCACAAGATCATCAAGGAATGCATTTTGATTTTCTGGATTTTGAGATGATGGCCTGGGGATTCACTTCCTTAGTATCCAGATTAGGATTTGAGCCTCCTTTTACCCAATTCAGGCTGGGATTATTTATGTGTTTGTTTTTTTCTGTCACAGTGTAGGAAAGCATTCCCTATCCTAACATTAATGTTTGTGTTTTATTTTGCTTAGATTGTGACCATGGCTGCCGAGTCTGATGTTCTGCACTTCCAGTTTGAACAGCAAGGAGATGTAGTCTTGCAGAAAATGAATCTCTTGAGACAGCAGAATTTATTTTGTGATGTTTCAATTTATATTAATGACACTGAGTTTCAGGGGCACAAGGTGATTTTAGCTGCTTGCTCCACTTTCATGAGAGATCAGTTTTTACTCACGCAGTCAAAACATGTCAGAATCACCATCTTGCAGAGTGCAGAAGTTGGCAGAAAACTGCTGCTCTCTTGCTATACTGGGGCACTTGAAGTTAAGAGAAAAGAGCTTTTGAAATACTTGACTGCTGCTAGTTACCTTCAGATGGTTCACATTGTGGAAAAGTGCACAGAAGCTTTGTCAAAGTACCTGGAAATTGATCTTTCTATGAAAAACAACAATCAACATACTGACCTATGTCAATCCTCTGATCCAGGTGTTAAGAATGAAGAAGAAAATTCAGATAAAGACTGTGAGATAATTGAAATTTCGGAAGATAGTCCTATAAACATAGATTTCCACGTTAAAGAAGAGGAAAGCAGTGCTTTACAGTCTACAGTAGAGAGCTTGACATCAGACAGAAAGGAAATGAGGTCACCAGAGCTATCTTCAGTAGATGTAGGTTTTAAAGACAATGAAATTTGTATTCTCCATGTGGAATCTATCAGTACTGCTGGTGTAGAAAACGGGCAATTTTCGCAGCCTTGTACCTCTTCAAAAGCAAGCATGTATTTGTCTGAAACACAGCATTCACTGATTAATTCTACGGTTGAGAGCAAAATGGCAGAAGATCCTGGGAATCAAGGTCAAGGCTTATTTTGTGAGAATACTGAAGGAAGTCATGGCACAGTAAATGAGATTCAGAATCTGGAGGATGCTTACTCACTGAGGCATCAGTGCCCCAGGTGTCCTCGAGGATTTCTTCACGTTGAAAACTACCTGCGCCATCTTAAGATCCATAAACTGTTCTTGTGCTTACAGTGCGGGAAAACATTTACACAGAAGAAAAATCTCAACCGGCACATTCGAGGGCACATGGGCATACGGCCCTTTCAGTGTACTGTGTGCTTGAAGACATTTACTGCTAAAAGCACACTTCAGGACCACTTAAACATACACAGTGGGGATCGGCCATACAAATGCCACTGTTGTGACATGGATTTCAAGCACAAATCTGCCCTCAAAAAGCACTTAACCTCTGTCCATGGCAGAAGCAGTGGTGAGAAACTACCTAGGCATGATCTCAAAAGGCAAAATCTACTATGATTAGAATTACACCTTGCTCTATAAGCCTTATTTCATTCTGTTAGGCAAGTCTGTCTGTAGAAATGCAGCATTTGTAATGCATTTCTTCCCTATCTTTGGGTCTTATTTTTGGTCGGCCTACACATTTTATTCTTTTTGAACTTCTACTGCCAGTTCCAAAGTGTAGGAGACATGATAAAGCTTTTGAGATGCTATCTTGTCTCAGGCATTATATATATAAGTCCACACACTATAAAGAAATAATGGTCCTCACTCAAATATTTTGATTCTAGTGACAGAGGATCCAGCAGTATTTCCAGATTCTGATTGTGAGTCTCTGGATAATTGATAAGTGTAAAATCCATCCACAAAGTAACTGTAATGAATTGGGATAGTGGGAAGAGAAAACAAATTTTAAAACACTATTATCCATTATTCTTCACTTTAAGAACAGATAGGACTAGTGAAATCTGTTTTTTTTAACCAACTGCTATTGGCAGGTACCTGTTTTTATAAACTGTAAAGGAACACAGTTCAAATTCACTTAGGAGCTGCAGATTTTTCTTACACATGGGCTAATATTCCTTGAAATAATATTCCCATGAGTTGTGAGTATACATATTTTAAAAATAATTGGGCCCAAGTTTCTTTTTTTTCTTTAAATATAGTTGCATCTAATAATTTTGTGGCCAGTAAATTAGACCACTGGCATGAAGCTCTGAAAAACTACTTAGAAATCCCAACTTTACCAAAGTTATTTGTTCTACTGTTCCCTTTTCAAATTTATTTTATTTCTTAGTTAATCTATAGTAAAACTGACCTTTATTTTTGGTGTACAGTTCTATGAGTTTGAACACACAGATTTGAGCAACCACCTATGCGGTCAGGGTACAGAATATCCAAAACCCCCTTATGCAGCCCATTTGTAGTCAACTACTATCTCTAAACCTTGGGAACAGTTCTCCATTGTGATAATTTTACCTTTCTGGAATGTCATAGATGGAATCTTACAGTATGTTCCCTTTGAGGTGCTTTTTTCACCCAGCATAATAATGCTTTTGAGATTGATCCATGTGTGTATCAATAGTTCATTCCCTTTTTTATTTTGAAATGGCAGTATAAATTTTCTTGCTCACTAGATGAACAGTTTAAATATGGGTAGTTATTAGCATTCTTTTAATGATCACTAACTTCTTTCATTTACATTATTGCAACTTGCATTCACTACCTGTTGACCTAAAGCCTAACCAGATGTAGAGTTTTAGTCTGTTATTTGCAGAGGTGTGCCAAAAGCTAAACCATGGCTGTATGGTTATTTTACTCAAATTATTTCAGATTGTGTTATGAGCCATTGCTCTCTGATATCCCTGTGTACAAGTAACACAAAACTTTGTTGTCATAACAAAGATTAAAATATATTGCAGGGCAAATCATATTCTCTAAAATACAAGAACTACTTTTAATAAAGAAGCCTTCCTGGATGCATCTTACTTTTCAAGATGTTCTATTCCTCTTCTCACCTCAGCTATATGTAGAATTTCTGATATATTTAGTTTCTGTTGAAACCCTTCCACATTTTAAAATGTAATATACTTTGTACCATTTAGAAGAATTTTGTGATGAATCACATATTGTTATAAATATTAGATATCCTTTCTGTGATGCTTTTCTGAGAAATACACTCTCCATAGAATTTTCACTCTGGGAGAGACTTTAAAGAATCCAGCTCTCGTAATAGGTAAAACCAACTTAATGACTAGTGACATTGGGCTGGTCACCTCTCCTTGTACTTTTCTTAAATTTATATATAAAAAAATAGCTTTGATCTTGATACTTTGTAAGATCATTTCCAGGTCTAAAATTCTATTATTTTATATTTAAAAATTCCTGAGTTCCTAAAAACAAAAAAGAAGGAAAAGCAAGAGAGGAGAGTTTTGTGTCTTTATGAAATATTGCTATTTGATTACTTTATCAGAGACAGAATTCAGAGAATGAATAGTGTTTTTCTTCCACTGGAGAGCATGATAGTATAACACTTAATTTTATTTACTGTTTGACCTATGATTGGCCATTTTTAGGCATGGAAATATTTCCCTTTCTGAAATAGTTTGTGATTGCAGGATTTTTCTTACTTTTGCTTCCTAGGATAAAGGTCTGTGGGGGAGGGATGGCCAATGGAAGGGAGGGTAAAAGAAAAAGTGCATTTTTTAGAAATTGGTATCTGCTATCTTTGATGTTTGAAAAAAAACTATGCTTGAACTGTTTTATGTGTGCCTTGTAAGATTCTTGTGAAATTTTTTGTATGCACTTTGGAATTTTTGCTTGGGGGAAGAGATGTTTTTGTGAAAGTGATGGTTGTTATTATTTATTCCAATTTAGTAGCAGAGGGATCTCAAAACATTCCTAAGAGAGTGTCTGTTTGCATGATGTGTATAAGCAATTTCAGGAAAATGCAATTTTTTAAAATGCAGGTATGACAAAGTAAAGTGTTGAATTTACTCATTTCAAACATTCACTTTTAGTTTGTGTTCCTGATAATGTTGGGAAAATGCAATATGTTTGAGTTAAGCCTCTTCATTTATGTATAAAAGATTTTGGAAGTATAGTTGTTACTTTGGTATAAGAGAAAAATCCTTGCCGTTTTTCCTGGATGGAATTATCCTATATGTTTACATAGGAATAATAAACGAAATGGGAATGGAGAGCTTTGTGTGTTGTCAACATCTGTGAATTTTAAAGAAGCAAAGTATTTCTCTTGGCTGCTCATTTAATCATTCATTCAAATATTTACTGAGTCCTTACAATATATACTTGTACTAGAAAATATACATACAGACAAAAATCCCTACTCATGAAATTTATATGCTAGTGGAGGAAGACAAACAGTAAATAAGTAAAATCGATGTATGTCTGATTTTGAAAACTGAGTTGGAGAAAATAAAGTGGGAATAGGGAGCACCAGGGATGGAGAATTGGGATTGTAATTTTAAATGCGGTCAGGTCACTTTTGAAAAATCTTAGATTATGTACCAGTGCCTGGTGAAATGGAAAACACATGTATATACACCGTCACTGTCTAGTTGAATGGAAAACAGTGAACCCAATGAACCATTGTTGGGAACCTTTCTCTTGAATTAACATTTATTTAATAAAGAGAATAAAAAGGATAAAAATGCATGGAAAAAAGCCTTTGGTGTGGCTAATGAGGATTTTTTTTTAAAGTTTCCCTATCATCTAGGTAGTAATTACCATATATATGTTTAAGCTTGTTATAGTTTATAAACTACTTTTCCATATGTCTCCTAATTGGTGGTGGGTTTATAGATGCTTTTCTTGGACATCTGGTTTTATATTGGGATGTGCCTTGAGTTTAATTACAATTCATGGCCACCTTCTCTCTCTTTTTCAGTTTCTTATCAGTAAAAAAGAGTATATAGTATCTGCCTTTTAGGATTATTTTGGTAAATGAAATATAAAACTAAAAATACTAGATCTGGTACATAGTAGTCCATTAAAGTTAATTCTCTTATGCTTATTCCCAGTCTGTTTTTTCATTTACAAAAATAATTTCTACCTTGCACTTCGCTGTGAGAAATCCCTCAACATTTAATGAGATTAATGCCAGAATTTGTGCTTGAATTTTGATTTCTACTGCTTCTGAGAAGCTTATCTTTCTCTTTAATAAAGCAATAAGGTGTTAATGCCTGTCAAACAAATGCTTGCTTTAAGTAGGGAGATTGCTTGGCACCCATGTTGAGGGATTGAGGGTTCAGGTCAGCATTTGATTACGGGAGAGTGAGTATAGTGTAATTCAAATATATCAGATTATGTTAATGGATAAAACGCTTTTCAGGAGGGAAGTCAAACAGGCTCCAGGCGCAGATGAATGTCCAAGGAGTTTCCCATCAACCCCTTCGTTTTGTCTAGGCCACCTAGTAGAACCTCCCACAGTGCTCCGGCGCTCCCAGTCACGTGATAGGGGTGGTTCGGCTCGACCACAGGCAAACCGATGCGCAGTCCAGGTGGCGGGGATCACGACGCTTCCCTTCCACCCCCACAACTCCCGGTCTTGCGTGACCTCGCGTGAAGTGGAGAGTATCTTCTCGCGAGAGCTAGTCGAGATCCCTCCAGGTCCGCCTCCGTGGTGAGAAGGAGGAGGAGGAGGAGAAGGAGGTGGAGGGAGGAGGAGGAGGCCCCGTCGCGGCCTCCGCCGCCGCCAACGGGGCTGTCCCTGTAGCTCCCGATGGAGTTTGAGGTCGTGAAACCGCCGCCGAGCTCTGCCCCGGCGAGACGAGGCGCCTCCGTCGCCGAGCCGCGCCGTCGCGGGGCTCCCGGGAGCGGCCCTTAGCGACCCCGCCCGGGCCCCCTCAGGTAGGGCGGGGGCGGGCACGATGCGGCTCGGGCCCCAGCCCCGGGTCCCTGGTCCCCAGCGGCCGGGCGGGAGACCGATTTCGGCCCGGGGCCTGTGCGCTGTCGCCGGTGCTCCGAGTGTTGGGAACCGAGGGCCGCACCTGACACTCGGACCGGGCCAGGCGTCCGGGCCCCTAGGAGGCCCCTCACCGTGGTCGAGCTTTTCATTACTGAGCGCCCGGCGCAAATGGCCACCTCCCTTCGACACCGGCCGAAGGGACGCATCTGACCCATAAGGAACCCACCCAAGCAAAGGCCAGGTTTCCCTTTTCCTTTTTTACACCAATTATTTAAGAGGGGATTTGGAGGAGGTCTTCGAAACCAAGTCTTATCCTAGCTTTTGGCTTTCTGCCCTGGGGCTTCCCTAGATTCTAGTTGGTGGAGGCAATCTGAGTTGTAAATAGGGGCCCTGGCCAAACAATGCCCTGGGAGAGGTTAACCTCCTGGGAGGGAGATGGCCGGACCAGAGTAATTGCCCAGTGGATGTGGCGGAGCAATGGCATGAAACACGGCCAGGGAATTCTACTATGGCTTTCTTCTTTCCCTCTTTCATTTTTCCTTCTTGGGGAAGCCTCTTAAGGAGACTCTTCCACCATTTTAGAAGAACGGTAGAAAGCATCTTTGTTTCTTAGAAACAGCTTTACTTTTCTCTATCCTTAGCTTTCAGGAAGGGAGAAAGCTATATGAGGATAGCTGTCATTTCCATCCTTCGAATCACAAAAGAGCTTGAGATACGTGCAGAAAGAACCTTGACACCAAAATATTCTCAAGTAATCTCTGACATAAAGTAGATCTAATCTCGTGGTTCCCAACCGGTTTTGTTTTGTTTTTTATAACCACCTAGGTTCTTTCTTTTAATTCCCTCTCTCTCTTTACTTAGCCTTTTCTTTTTAATTCCTATATTCCTCCAACCCGCTGTGATTACAATGACTTGTATCCCAAATAAAGTGTTTAAGTAATCGTTTTTCCATTTTTTGTATTAGTCAAACTTTTAAGTTGCAATAGGAACTTTTGATTAACCTGAGAAAGCTAATGTCGCTACACTAAATTTTTATGACTTCGTCAGATAACAAAGAAACGCGATTTAGTTAGCCTGTGCAGCCTTTTTATAGTTGATATACAAATTCAGTTAAGGTTTCTTGCAACATTAAGAAGAGTTTATGGATTCTTCCATTATTAACTTATAGTATCTGTCTGAAAAGCTACATCACCATTATAATGTAACATCCCTTTACATTGTTTACTTTAATAAACGAGTCCATTACATCCTGTTAAAGACCATTTTTGTTGATTTGGAGATTCATGTTTTCTAGTTTTAAGAGTTTGGAAAATTGCTGGAAGGACAAAATATTAAACCATATATTCCAGACATTTAGAAAAAGCAGATGTTATAATTCAAATTGGCTCCTGTTCTTTGAGGATTTAATTGCAGTCATGTTCATTAGTGGGTCCTTGAAGCTACTCCTGATCTGTTTTTACTGTTGTGTAAACCTGCCATGTAAGAAGATGTATGTCCTTTGTTCATATATTTTCTTTAAGTCACTTTCTGCTTTTGTAATTTGCTGTCTTCAGTTTGAAAAAGTTTGAGAAAAATTCTTTTTTGGGGAAAGCATTTTTCTTTACACTGAGTTTTATGTTCAAAGATAGAACTCTGCATTGTATGCAGTATTTCAGAATGCTAAATAAACTTATAAGGTCTTACATAAGCACCTATTGTTTTGGTTGGACTGGGTTGAAGTTTCATTTTCTAGTGATGGAAAAAGGAAGCATGTGTTAAAATAAAACTCGCTGAAAATTAAAAATAATGTCTTGCACCCAGTCTTATAAATGTTGGTATATCTTTATAGTCCTCAGGTTTTCTAGTTTTATGAAAATCCCCGTAAGTGTAGGTGTGACTTTCCCCTTACAATTTTAATACACGTTAATTTTGAGTACTACGTTATAATTTTAAGTACTCTTGAGTTGCGCTGTCCAATACTAGCCAATAGACAAGTGTGGCAATTGAGCATTTGAAATGTAGATAGTGTGAATTGAGATGTGTTCTAAATATAAAATACACACCAGATTTCAAAGATTTAGCCCCAAAAAAGAATTTAAAATATTATCATTTGTATTAACTACATGTTAAAATGATATTTTGGATAGTGCTAAATATGTTACTAATATTAATTTCATCTGTTTTTCCCTTTTTTAATATGACTACAAGAAGATTTTAGATTTCCTGTGGCTTACATTATATTTCTGTTAGCTCTGTTCTAAAGCATCACTACTCTTGCAAGAAATAGATTATCTGAGTAAAAGTAGATATATGAAAACCAAACATTTACTGACAGTATGCTTTTACAGTCTAAATAATCAGAAGGTTAAGGACTTTCATAATATGAAATATAAAGATACCTAGTTGCCATTATTTGATAGGCAGACGTGAGTAAGTTATGTCTCAAAGGATTTTTCCAATCTGGTCATTAAAGAAGCTAAATTTTATTGGTTATATTAATTAAAACAAAAAATTTTCCTACTACTGTTCTGTTAGAAGACACTTTTATAAAAGTTAAATCTCATGCTTATTTGAGTTCAACCCCATAGTGGATTTAAGAAATAAAACTTGAGACATGTACCTTTCCTAACTTATGCTAAAGTCAAATATAATAGTGATCTTTACAGTTGTAGTTCAGTTCCTTTTTCCAGTCCCTTTGATAATGTTTGCGTGCTGAGTTGTAGAGCTTACAGATCATTTGCACAGGTTTTGTTTGTTTTATAGGTAAAGGTTTAAATTGTACCTATGATGCTTTCTTTAAATATAATTTTTGAAGTCCAAAACTAATTATTTTTAAGGTTTCTTAATTGTGAAGTACTTTTATGGTCCCTTTCAGAAAGTAGCTTAAATTCCACACATGGTTGAAAAATGAAAACAAAGAATATTTTAATTAACAGACCTGAGCCCCAATGTTTACATCTTTATAAAGAGAATTGTAAGGTTTTATATAGTTTTTTACTGTATTGTAGCAAAAAGGGTATAAACTTTATTCTGGCATTTTAAAAGCAGGTGTTATAGTTCTGAACTGGCTGCCTAATATCATGGTGGACTAATAGAAAATGAAAGTACTTTAGCTTGTGTGGAGTTTGCTCTTAGTAAAGCAGTTTGTAATTTGCATCATACGTACGATGTCTATTACTCTTCTATTTTATGACTTAGTATTCATCCCTATCAAGGAACTTACAGCCTGAAAACTTGAGTAAAAATCTGTTTAAGGTCCTACCTATAATTTAGCTTTTCTCACTCTTATGCTTTATCTTGTTATCCTTCTTCAGTTTTAATAACTAGTAATTGAAATTAGTTATTACAAATAATTTAATTAGAATTTTTCTTAAATAGTCCCTTTATATATCTAGAGTTGTAGGTCTTTTAATCCACTTTTCTCAATTTGAGATATTTTGGGAGTATCTTTAGGATGAATACTTCAGTGTTAACCACAAATGTTATTTAACAAGTTAGACTTCCAAAGATTAAAGTAAGTTATTGGAATGTATTAATATACATCTAGAATTTTTATGTATCAATATACATTCTAAGCTTGTTGTGGCTCATTTAGATGCTTTTTAAAAATAAATCATAAATGATTCTATAGCATCTTACTATGCTGATGGACAGTGACTGTAATGGGGTATGTGCGAGAGGCTTGATAATAGGGGAAGTCTAGTAACCATAATGTTCAAGTAATTGTACATTAATGATATCAAAATAAAAAAAGTAAAAAATAAACAAATCATAAAGA